TTAGTGTGGACAAAGTTTCAGGCCTAAATTCGAAACTTTGATTTTACCGCACAGATAGGGCCCTATAGTACAAATACAATAAATAGTCGATATCTCAGGCAAACATCAACTTGGGCTCATATCCTTGTAGGCTTTTTCTAGTCTATGTATTCCCTACTTGTGGGCGAAATTTCAGCTCAAAAGCTTTTTGATACCTCGGGAGGTTCCTTCGTCAGACCCACTCACTCTATCAAGTATTTTTTCGCTCGAAAAATCTTGCAAAGGTTTTTTAGTAAACGCTTCAATTATGTATTTAAGGGAATAACCATTTTTTGGTTTAGGAGTCTTACACAAGCTTTTTTATAGTTCGATACTCAACGTATTTTTTTCTAGAGTTCACCTGATACGTGATAAAAACAGCATAAAAAAAAGAATTCAGTTGTCTGAACAGACTAATCCATGCTATTATATATGATTTATTGGTACAAACAATCTAAAAATAAAAAAAAATAAATTATTCATTTGATCTTTAAGATAAATCAACAGTAACTATGTTATCTTTATGCAATGATCGCCAATAAGAAAACCAGACATTCTAATACCGTTGAAAAGACCAGAGATCTTGTTGTATCTGGGATTTATGTTCTAAATTCTATATTGATTACTTTTTCATCTGATATAGAGTGCACATACGAGATATTCTATCACTGTAATATCTATAGCAACATTCAAATTTTCAATTTTTTTCCCAGTCTATCCATTATGACGCAGATAAATAAAAGTCAGGAGTTGATTCGGAATGACGCAGATGAATAAAAGTTAGGACTTAGTTTGAAATGACGTTAGAGAAAAGCATTAATTAATAACATATTAGCAGCAGCATCTGTTACAAATATTCAAATTTGCGTCAGCAACTAAACTATTATGTCTGTCGAACAGGAACAAACGAGTTTGCTCATATTTTATGATAAATTTTATTACAGACAAGAGTTTTAGTAATCTAATAAAAAAAGAATATATTTATACGAACTATATAGAAGGTAAATGTGGTGTTCATCTTTTCATCATATGACAAATACTAAACGTGTGTGTTGCTACGTTTCAAATCAATCTTTATTATACAGATTGGATAAGTGAAAAGGAGAATGTCGACACATTTCAGCATGATTATTTGCGTTTCGGGATTGACGAAGTGCATCTGCATCGTGCAATAGTATCTTTTTGTATAGGATATCATTCATTTCAACTCCAAAAATGTTCAAAACTGTATAAAGGACTATAAACTAATTGAAAATTTGAAAGAAAGCATGTTCCGATGGTCTATATTTACCTGTAACTTGGGAATGTGCATGGGTGTCAATGACTACGTGGGTATTCGTTGAAGATAAATTTCAGTTTACAATTACACTTACGCCCACCTATCCTGAAATTATCGAATATATATCAGGATTAGCTACAAAATAGATTTTTTAATCGATCTATTTGTTTTTTCAATTCTATATAAAATAACAAAATATGTTGTTCAAATAAAATTTGTTTTCTCTCTTAGAAAACGTTGCATTTTCTTCTATAAGTGACGATTTTCAATGTTTTTCTTTCATATCCTTCCTCCAAAGTTTCAATATCATGAATATTTTTCGTATTTACAACAGATCATAACTGCCATTTGGTAAGATTTAGTTAAAAAAATCAACTTTGAAAAAGGAAGCAAAACTTATTATTCTTATTGACCGATCATTTTTAATGTTGTGTTTTGTTGCAGATGTTTCAATAAAAATACTTTACGCTGGTATTGTTCTGTAGACTAGAGGTGCAAGCCATTGGCTTGGACGCGCGTCGGCTCTAGCAAAAATGTCAGGTACCAGCCGTCGACTTCAGCAAAAATCGGCTGATGGCTTACACCTCTATCTGAGAAGAAAAAGGTTTGTTGTTTTCATAATTATTAGTTTACAGCATCATACTGAAGTGTCTTCTGTCACTTTAACGATTTTGTAGTCAGTTACTTGATAATAGCACTGCACAACAACTTCGTGTTCTTGGTCAACTGGATTTGGAAAATGTTAATATAACGTAATGTGCTTTGTGAATAATAGAAAAAGAACGATTTTTCAACTTCCATAAACTAAAATAAATTTCAACGCTTTTTTTCAATGTTTTTTTTTTCAGTTTTGGCAAAATCATATAAAACTATTCTGAAAAGTTGTATAAACATATTGTTATATTAATAATTTTCTTTCAATTATTTTAGTTTTCCTCAAGTATTTCTTCACATCTTTTAACTAATCTTTTGTTCTCAAGTATTATTTTCTCCTCATATCTATTGAAGATATATTTTCTTATGATATCATGTGTTTTTTATTAGATATTCTAGACTATTGGTTTTAAAAAGGTGTTAATTCAATTTTATATGTGCACAAAACATTCATTATGAGTCGAAATCAAATAGGAGTTTGTGATGTAATATATTTGTTCCAATACGATAAAATAACTTTGATTTTAATAAACTATTTCAGTCTGAACCAGTTACGTCGAATTCTCAACAAACATCAACCGATCGATCAACATTGTTATATGTGTGTTGAATTGTTGAAATGCATAATCGAAAGAATTGTTTATTGTAGAAGCAGATGTTCTGTAAAAAAGAAATTCTTATGCATCATTATTGTTATTATCATTGTTATTTTGGTTGTAACTATTCCAACCGTGATTATTAAAACAAAAAAAGCAAACATGATAGAATCATCAACTATGACAATAGAAACAACAAACAAAGTAATACCATCAACCGTGACAACAAAAACAACAAACATGATAAAATCATCAAGTGTGACAACAAAAACAACAACTCAACAATTTACAACAATAGCGAGCAATCCAACTACAGAAGGCATAGTATTGATGAAATAAGAATACAGATTCACAAAAGTCTTTTATTCAATTTATAGAATGACATATTAAGGAAATTTATAGAACAGATTTGTCAAACGATAAATATTTGAGAAACGAAGAAGAAAATTAGAATATTTTTTCCGAAAACTGTACTTTATTAGTTCATAATTTCTCCCTTGACATCCTGTAATTAACATACAAAGTAGACAAAGATGATTAGATCCTGCAAATTTAGACAGAAGATAAGTGTAATTTGATCTTGTGTATACAAATGAATCTGATGTGATTAAGATATATGAACATTAGTTTTTGACATTTGTAGAAGATATCCAATAGATTATTTCTAAACTATTTAACGTATATATTTATGTAATTACTATAAGTTTTTAGAAAGGATTTTCATAGTCTATTAGGGTCTAACAGAGAGTGCCATGATCAATAATAGCTACGCTCTCACCTAAATCGAGATGATGCGCCCTTTGAGAGTATAATAGATTCACCTACCAGCTCATACATACAGGCTCATTGGCGCGTCCGCACCCTCACACCCACACCCTCAAGATTTAAACTTTAGTCGACACAGTAAAACCTCTTTATATCGACACCTCCAGAATAAAAACACCTTCACTCTAAAATAAAATGGTATCACACCCAAACCTTCATGATTCTTCGCTCTGTCATCAGACTATAAGATGCATGTCTTTCACTTGGTATACAAACAGTAATAGTACGGATAAAACGGAGCGTACAAGTCTAATACGATCTAATATTCTGAATAGTAATTAGTCAAATTCGAATATTTCTTAAGTAGTTCTATTTTCAGACAGGTCAGACTTTACGTCTGAACTTCAGCCATCGGTTGGTCCATGGGGCATTTTTTTTGGCTATGCATATTGTCCTGCAAAAACATGGGCGTATGGTTTTCAACAGCGTGTCCAACCAGCTCAATATGAACGTGATGATACCGCGCTAAATGCAGTACGTTTGTTCTGTCAAGAAAAAAATGGTACTGATAGTTACGCTATTAGCTCATACGACGGCCGGTGGGGCGATTGGGGCGATGTTGTTTACTGCAACACTACAAATAACAGCTTCATGTATTATGCTGTCTTTAAAATCGAAGATTACCAATATGGTGGTGATGATACATCAGCAAATGACTTCAAATCTCGTTGCTGGAACGGTACCACCAGTAGTGGTGAATATCTTCAAGCTACGAATGGTCAAGTTTGGGGTAGCTGGAAGAACGGAACTGATTGTGCTCAAGGATCGGCTATCTGCGGTATTAACACAAAATTCGAAGGTTCCAATAGTGATAATGCAGCAATGAATGGCGCATTTTTTGCATGTTGTTCATTATGAGTACTAAGTGTGCAGTGTAGTGTCGGCGTCATATAGTAAGAAGAAACTTTTCAAACTTGATTTCTCTTTTTCATTGTACTGCTATTATCTACTCATAAAAAATAATATAAAAGAGGGGATGGGTGTGGATGGATGCGGATGATAGTAACGTGAACACCCACACATCTATAAAGCATGTTTTATGGTTTGAAAGGATGAAATGATATCTGTTCAATCATACGATTTCCATCTACTTTTGCATGCAGTATACAATCAATTTCGGGTAAAATCAAAGTATATCATTTTAGTATTTTTAATCTAATACAGCAAAAACATCACCTAGAAGGATGATATTCTCAGAGCATAAGCTATGAAAACTGGGTTACTGTTTGATTATAGCCATAGTCGAATATATTGAATTTATCATGATATATTCGAAACTTTCAGTGATTTGTCAAGTGTTCAATCCACTTTAAATTCTACTGTGTTAGTAACCCGTTCATTAATGTTTTTCTGATCGAAATGTAAATGTATCCCAATGGTATTTAGAAAGATATTCCAATATGACTCATTGTAACGAAGCATTATCAAAACTACGTGATGCATTGGACAGTCGACAACTCTCAGATCTTGAATCTGACTATTACGCCCGAGCACATGCGCTCTATGAGTTGCATATCAATCAGCGCTCTCTTATTGTTGATCATCTATAGCACGTGTGTGGGCGTTACAACAGGCTGATTTACCAAACCAGCAATGATATTAACATTGAG